AAGGAAAAATGCTCACCTCTTATAAAGCAATGGATTGAGGGCCTAAAAACAGCTCTCTGAATTTGAAAGTGTGGTGTACAGATTCCAAACTAGAAATAACTTCTTTAAGAATTCTTCATGAGAGTCCATGGGAGCATTAGCTACACTTCACCCGGGTAATAGTGCTTTATAGTGCCACGTACAATGACAATGTGCTTCAGTTACAGAAGCGGCTGGCAAAGCTTCCTTTTATTGAATTCTACGGTGGGAAGATGCCTTTGCAGCCCATTTAGCCCATACTTCTCACAAAAATGCAGAGCTGCAGAAAATGGAAGCCATCTGAAACCGCGTACGGCTGCCTTTTCCCTGACAACAGTTGAGAATTGATGTTCCACCTTCCTACCTATTTAAGAGACTCTGCAAGCAGAGGCCTGGATGCTACTTGTACAGGGGACGCTATTCAACATTCTTTCTTCGAGAACGTTAAGCAACATGGAATGGTGATTTCGCATTGAGGCGCCGATGGCGACTTTAGCCCTTGTGGGTTTGCATTAGAGATTTGCTTGGCTGCTGCTGAAGCATAGGTATATTTTTCCTCTTAATTTTTGTCCAGAAATTTGAATTTTGATACTTACACACACATGTATATCTATTAACTGAAAATGATGTGTGACATCCATGGAGTTACTTTTTTGTATTGTTTTGGCTTGTTTTGATGAAATTACAAGAAATATAAATGGATAAAAATAATTGAGGGGACAATCACTACGCAGTGGGCTGGTTCATACGTCACAAACACAACCCAAACTTCAAATTGTGGGTTGCCACAAACGAGGCAACTGGAAGGGGCTAAAGAACTTCAGGACTCTCCATCTCGGAGTTGCTTAGTGCAGCTTCTCAACCCAGACCTCTTGCTTGCCTCATGCTTGGCAACCCAGAAAAGCTACCACAGGTTCTTCTTCCTTGGACTTGTCTCTTCCCCGATGCGGTTCCACCATTTTAGAACATTATGAGAGAGGAACCGAGCCATTATGCACATAACAGTGCTTATGGCGGTAATATATTTATTTGTGTTACTGCAGCTAGGCCTGGCTGTGGTTACAAGCAGCGGCAAGCGCTTCAAAGAGGTGCGCTCCAGTCCTATGCATGCTTCTCAGAAGGCCCCCCAAATTCAGTGGGGCTTGCCCCCAGAGAAGTGTACGCAGGACAGCAGCAGATGAATTATCACCCTTCCTGTGACCCAGACAACCAAATCGTTCAATGCTGGTCATTCAGTTCCTCCGGGAATCTTTCACCCACTGAGGCAGGCAACTGGTCACTCCCACGGGGCTCTCGGACGGATGCTCACATGTGAGCCAAGCATCATTTCTGCAGCTTGTGACAGTCACTTTCGCATTTCAGCGCATCAAGTTTCTTTTGGCAAAGAGTTTAGCTTTAGTCTCCACACAGTCTGTTATCACACGCACAGTGGCTTCAACGGTAGGAATCCAAGAAGTTTCCCTTGCTTTGGTTTAAACCAACTGACCCCAACTTTCTGGCAAGGGTCTAGACTTGAGTCGCTTTGCAGGGCTTGGGGCCAGAGAAAGCCAGAGCCAGCCCAAGTGGCACTAAATGCAGCAGCCACTGTACATGGGCAGGACAGGCCACGCTGTGGCTGGACAGGGAGCGATACTGCCTGGTCAGGACACTGCAGAATCGGATAGGCCCGTCCTCACTGCCATAAGCTTCCGAAACCGCACCTTCTTCTCTTTTCATGCATTTAAGCATTTCCCTGGCCACAAAGGCTTCTCTTAGACTCGAGGCTGAATAATATCCCATGGCCAGCAGCTAGTGACTCAGAAAAACCATGCCTTTTCCCCCACAAGCTGTAATTCATTTAATGCTCCTATTCCAGCCTGTGTCCATTTCATGTGGCTTGTCCTTAACGGCTGTTCACAATTAAATGCAACATGCGCAGGCACATAAATCTTACAAACTCGAAACGAGGAGAGGAAAGGAGAGGAGAGGAGAGGAGAGGAGAGGAGAGGAGGTCCAAGGAAAGACTTTAGAAGGAAAAAGAGGGAGGGAACCAGAACAGTATGGCTCACATCACTTCACACTTCACCATGAGCCTTACTCATAACTTCCAGGAAGCATGACCACATTGTTTGAAATCCGTCACCCCTGCCTCCATATCTAGTCATCTCTCGGGGAAAGCCGGAGAGGCCAGCTGCGCTTTCAGCCTTCAGTCCTCCAGGAGTCACTCAGAGGTGGGCAGAATCAGTCCCTCAGCACACAGGCTGCTTCCGCACATGGCCCACACGGCTGGACTCAGGACTCCCCGGAGGCGCGTGGGCTGGTCTGAGATGGGGCTCTAAGGGCTTCATCACAACCCCCCCTCGGCTCCCCGGGCAGTTTGCTGAGGGTTGGAGCATCAGACCCAGTGGAAGAAACCAGTCAGCTTTGCTTACCAGGAGAATGGGAAGGCAGAGTGGGGTCCTGCCTGTGCTTTGGGACCCAACCCATAAAGGAAGGCCGAGGAGTTCTGGGGGAGGAATGCTGCCGCCTGGGCTCTGCCCCACAGCAGCTCTGCAAGGGGGAGCAGCGAGAGCTTCTGCCCTGCATTCCATGCATGGGAGCCCATCCTGAAGTGCGAACAAGGAGAACGGTTCCTCCTGGGTGCTGGTAAGAGCAGCTTCTCTCTCAGCCAGGAAAGGCCTGGAAAAGCGATCCTGCAGCGGCTGATCTCTCTGCAACATGTGTGGATAACCCGGAGCCATTAGGGACCGCCCAGGAGTGGGCTGGAGGGTTGCATGGATGAACACTGCAACAGACCACCTCCACCGCCACCACCACCACCATCATCATCATCATCCCGCCGGTAGCCAAAGCTCTCTGGGGGGTTTACAACCAAGTGATCTGCTGACCAGCCCACTATAAAGTCGGAGAACGCTTCTTCCCACCATGTGGTTCTCCTTGGTCAAGCTGAACCGAAGAGCCTCGTCAGAAAAAGCCAGCTTCAAGCCCAGGGAAGAGTGTCGAGGAATGGCTGGACTGCCGGGAGAGAGAAAGAGGGCTGCACCGCACGTGCATTCTCCAGGGCTGCCAGGTGGTCCACAGAAGAAGCAGGAGGAGGAGGAGGAGGAGGAGAGGCATGGGAGGGGGCCAGGGAACGCGAGCCAGGCACCAAGACGAGAGAAGCAGAGGTATCTGTCTCAAGGCCAGACTCCCCTCGTGGGCAGGCAGTCTCGGGAAAGAACCAAGATGTACGGCTGGCGGGAGGGGACTCGGAGCAGGGGTTTCTCAGATGCAGGCTGGGCCGGCACAGCTCTTGGCCCCACGATGCGGCATCGGCAGGGGAGGGTGGCCCGATTAGAGGATCAGCACGCAGAGAGGATGCACGCTTGTTTCTAGAGGGCCCCTCTAAAAGAGATGGGCCCAGGCATGCTCATAAGGAGAGTTCCTGGAAGTGAATACTAGATTGGGTTCAACAAACCGCTCTGTGCAAGCTCAGGGATTCTTTCTGGGTGTTTGGTCAATAAAGAACGCTTTATTGCCGTTTGGTCAATAAAGAACGCTTTGCAAGAAAGGTCTGGGGCTTGGAATGTGCGAAGGGAAGAGCTCTAGCTCACGACAGACACTCTTTTGCTTCCACCTAGGGACATGTGCAATTCCTATCTTTCATCTGGGCAGCTGCTTCACAGTAGTCTTGACTACGGTGTCCATCAAATTCAGTGTAGCCCTGCCTAAGCAAAACAGCTCTTTATTTTATTCTTTTATTATACTTATCTGCAGTCTTTTCCTTTAAGGGACCCAAGGCAGCTTATATAACCCTCTTCCTCCTCCTCTTTATTTTATCCTCTCAATAACCCTGTGAGGTAGGACAGGTTGAGCATCATTGTGTCAAGGCATCTGTCTCTCCTACAGGCAGACCCAGACAAGGATCTCCTAGTGAAGACCTTTATCACGGGAGTGCTCAACATGGGCTTTAAAGCACAACTGAAGTGTAACACAGTCACAAAGAAATAGCCTCAGTTCGAATTCCAAGTATTCCATCCAGTAAGGAAACGCTGTTGAACCTAGACCGTCTTTCTGTCCCCCAAAACTCAGGCAGTTAACACCTCACTTTTGAGGTGGAACCAGTGGCTTGAGAGGTGGCCACTGAGAATGCCTGACATGTTTAGCCGGTCCACCCTCTTCAGGTGACATCTCACCTGGGATGAGCCCCACCCACCCATTCCCCATCCTTCTCCTCAACTGGCTTGCTCAGGCTTCCCACAGCACCTATGCCTGACTGACCTTCCTCTGCCTCCCCACTTATCTTGGTTCAACTATCTGGGCATTTCGGCTGCGGAATCTGCCACAACCTATCAGAAGCTGTTCCCACATCCCTTGAAGGCACTTTTGTAGCCGCAATGGGCTTAATTCCTAAGAGGGATGTGCCCCCGGTCAGCCAGGGACCTCCACCGCCAACTGGGGGTAGAACCCCGAGCTCCCAAGCACCAGTCCAACACCCCACCCCACGCCACACCTGCTCCCCCACAGCTTGCAGCTGCCTGCTACACAATCCTTCTAGCTTTGAGATGCCCGAGGCAAACCTGGGGCCCCTGGCATCCAAAGCAGGGGCCCTTCCACATAATTTGCCCCATAATATACCTCTTAGAGGACCAGGGAAGCCTAAAACTGTGTGCATCTTTTACAACAGCTACCAAATTATTTATTCATTTAATGCAATTTCTACGTCGTCCCATAACCTGAAGGTTTTCATAGTTCAAGACTGAGTCTGTTATATCTACTTAGACCTCTCTCTGCTAGACAATGAGGACTGACTCCTTGAATTCTGTCTGTTTCCTGGGAGCCCAATGTTTAATTTGCTGAAATGGGCTGCAATGTGAATGGAGAAGCCGCACCCCTCAACATAAGCGTGAATTTCTTCTGGACCGGAAGCAGTCAAGAAGCTTAGATATTCTGCAAGGCTTCTGGGCCCTGCTGGCACTTTTCAGTCAAACTGTTGATGCATATTAATAACTCAAAGAATTTACCCAAAATGCACAGTATTCCGTCTGGTTGGGATTTGCTGCTTTGAGTCAGAATGCTTTGAATTTGTCGAAGGCGGCTACAGCTGAAAAGAGAAATGAGAGACGGACAATTAGACATGATGTCTCCAGGCTGCTGGAGCTGAGCTCACGGAAACAGACTTTCGCCTGGCAGTAAGGCATTCGCTGCTCTGACACCGATGGCGCTCGCATAAACCGAGCAGAAACCGGTCTCTGTTCTTTCCACGGCATTTTGCAAAACGCTTTCTGACGCTCGGCCTGCCCGCTCGTCGCTTCTTGGCCACTTCTGCCTCCGCCACTCACGGCAGTCGCTCTCGGGGCACATCTGTCCCTGGGACCGCTCATCCTTCCACAGAAGCAGCTTCCTCTCAGTTCACCGCACCCGGCAATGCAGGGTTCAAATGGGACTAATGCAGCTGCTGCCAAAACTGACATCTTTTCCATGCTGGGGCCAGTGAGCCCCCCATGCACACGGGTCTCGGGCCGAGCCCCCACTCCAAGCCATGCTGGCACCGTGCTGGCCTTCAAGGCAGCTCTGCAAGGAGAGTTTCTTTCCCATTCCGGTCTGCCCGGCATTTCCTCTGGGCAACCAAACCCAGTCAACAGGCCCCAAGCCTGTTTTCGTTGCTAAACACACCAAGAGGCCAAGAAGACAAGTCCGAACATGCAAGAATCCCAGCAGTCTGACCTCTGCTCGGAATGAAAATGCAAACAGAAATCCCAGAAGGTTGAATTCTAACCAAGTCAGCAGAAAGTTTGAAATGTTCCTGTTACGTATTGCTTGATGGGAGCTGGGTTTCCCCTTATTTGTTTCCAGCAACAGACAGTCTCCCTGCAAAATAGTTCTTGATTTCCGATCCACAGCCGACAAAGTAGAGCTATAACGAGAGGCGTCTCTGTGCAGGAACAAGGGATGTGTTGAACCCAAACTAGGAACTTCTTCTGGGAGCCCTCCTTTGGATGGGCCCCTCTGGAGAAGGACTAGCCTCCCAGGTCTAGGTGGGCCTCTAACTGGGTATCCCTTCTACTGACCCAACGCCACATTGTGGGGTCAGGGACCGGATGGGGTTCCACTCCCGCCTCTTCCCTGCCCCCTTCCTTCACTTCCAAACCCCGTCTGTTCCCATTGTCCGCACCTCGGGACAGCAGCCTCGAGACATCCACCCCTCCTCCGCCATCTCGATTCTCCAACTCCCCGTTCCCAGGCATCAAAGGCCTCATCCGAAGAGTCGGTGCAACACTGACCCCGGAAAGCGCGCCAGGAACAACCACCTCTCCTGTTCCCAACAGCCTCTATATGGGGAAGGTCCTTGTGAACTTAATTTTCTAGCTGATTTAATGTGTTTCTTGATCCTTATCCCCTCTTTAAAAATTCAAGAGGGGAGGAGCAAAGCATCGCTTTAACATCTCTGACAAGCAGAATTACAAAACATTACAAAGCCAGGTCAAGTGCTACCAAACATGTTTCTTATGGCCAGCCTTCTGATGTGGGCTTCCAATGAGGGAGGTGATGGTACCAGCGATCAGAGGTAAGACTGAGATCCTGCAGGGCACAGGCGGATAAGCCAACTATCTCTGGCCAGGAATTGATGTGCCGCCAGCCTGGCAGTGGCTGCATGACAACGCTGCGAGATTCCAGACACAAATCTGTCCCAGTCCCGCCTGCTGATGCTGGGGATCACACCCAACCAAGCAGGGCCTCTGTCCCAAGCTGCGACCCCTCTCCCGGTGCTCAAGGCAGCTTACGATGAAGGGAGTTGCTCAAATTCCTTCTGTGCCTCAAGGGCTGCCACAAAGAGGAAGGTCAAGGTCTCCTCTTGCTGATGCCAGAGTGCAGAACACGGAAGAATCATGCCAAGCTTGGACAACCCAGAGTCAGGCTGGGCATCAGGAAGAGCTTCCTCTCTGTCAGAGCAATAGGACAGTGGAACCAGCTGCCTGGAGGGGTGGGGGGCTCTCCAACGTCAGGGACACCAAGAAAGAAACTGGGCAGCCACCTGAGTGGGAGGGTGTGGCTTGATGTCCTGCAACAGCAGAGGGTTAGATTCGATGGCCTTCACGGCCCCTTCCAACTCTGCTATTCCAGGATTCTATGAGAAATGTTGCGGGGGGGGGGGAGCCTTCTTGGTTAGGAAGTCCCACTTGTGGAAGACCCTCTCAGTCAAAATGGACTGACACCAACCCAGCTTTCCTTTTGGCCAGGCTGAAACTCTTCCGTTAGCCTGGGTGTTTCAGCTGCTTCTGCTGTTCTTATGGATGCACTTAAACTGTGGCCATACTTGGCCCTATTTTATTTTACAGGCTGCTCAGCGTGCCAGCTCCGAGTCTCGGGGGTCCCCTGGGCAAGGCACGCTCAGCGCCCCCGGCCACTTGGTGTGCCTCTTCCCATTGCCACCCTTGTCACCAGCGGCTGCCAGTCTGCTGGACAGCCGGCCTGCGGGCACCTTTCCGGCTCCTTCATGCCACCACGGCTGGCTTGCTTGCTCACACCCCCCTGCGCCAGAGCAAGAACCGACCTGACCAGTGGGCCGCAGGGCTGGGGAGGAGGAGCAGTCCAGGGGGCATTCAGCAGCGGGGTCCCTAACGAGCTGTGGGTGCCTGGGGGGTGCCCAGCCCCTCAAGCCGGCCTGCCGCTCTGCCATGGGTCTGATGGAGGGTTGCTGGGAAAGGCGGTGGTGGAGAGAGAGCCGTCAAAGGAAGAGCTGCTGCCCCATGCGAGGCTTCAGAAGCGAGCCAGAGGTACCCCGCTGTCTCCCCCTTCCTTCCGTGTGCCGGCAACACAGCCCACAGACCCTCAACGGAGCAGCAGGGTGGGCATGCATACAAGGATCTTCGCCTTCTCACGTGGCGACTAAATTGATGGTGTTCAATGCACACTGGGGAGAAGGCAGCGTGTCTGGCGAAGCCCCCACCCCTTGCCCGCCGCCAAGTTCACGCGGTTCGAGAAACGCAGCTTTGGCAGGCATTTTGCTCAACGGCTGCCAGTCGAGGGCAGGAGTCTGGCTGGTGAGTATCATTTCCAGGGTGATTTCAAATGGCCTTGTCTGAAAGCGGCACTGAAAGCGGCACTGAAGCGCAGCAACACTTTTGTGAAGGGGTAGTACATGGCTCTGCCCAAGCCCTTTGCCCGTGCCATCCCGACACAGCACAACACAGGAGAAGCAGCCGACAGCCACACTGCTTCTCGGACCATGGACGGACCATCCTCCAAGAGGAGGCGGAATCCGAAACCCCGGTTAGCAGAAGCATTTCCCCTACCTGCTTCCTAGATCCCATAGGTGAGATGTACTGTCAACACAGAGTGGATCTATAATACAGGTAAAAATAAGACAGTGCTTGCCCGGCTGCAAGAGTAACAGCATCTCCTGCTTAAGGATCCATGGAAAATGAACGCCCGGTTTTATAAGCAAAAACTCCAACGCGGGGGCCGCAGATGATAAACCGGGCGATGCTTACCAGTGCACAAAGAGCATACTGCTTTGGAAAAACAGCTACCTTAACACGCGCCGTTTCCCCCAGTGTGAAGAGCATGTTGGCAGGTGGGTCTTCAGCTTCCTTTCACAGGTAACAGCAACCTCACCAATGCCGTTAGCCAAAAATACATGGCGGTGTTCCTCCTCTTCCGTCCACCCCGGGCTTCCACTTTTCTTTTTGACTTCGACAAGAGATCCTTTTCTGTCCATCACCGAAACCCCACAGTGGAACAGCATCTTCTATCTAACCTTAAAAAGGGGAAGAACCTTTGACACGGGCCCTGCCGACACACTCAGGGCTTTTCAGGACCATCCTCTGGTTGGTTCCGATGCTTTTACAGACGAACACAAAAAGCTTCAAGTCATTATTCTGTACCACCGGGATTCACTCGCTGAAGCACCGTTCCCATCTCACTGCACATTACGTTAAATGCAGGGAGCGACTTCTAGGGGGTGGGTCTTCGTTTGAGATGGTGGCATGAGGGAAAATGGTTCCCCGCATGGCACGGTTCCAACCCTAAACCTCCAAGGATGGCTAGCGAAAACTGACACACCAACAGCGAGCTTATGACCAATTTCCTTGTGCAGGAAAAAGACTCATATACAAAAGCAGCCATAAAAACAGCCCCTGTTGCGTGTTAATTATAGTATTCAATTCTCACTCCGCAGGCACAGAATCAGCAAGGGGCAGGCTGTTCTCCCTACATGCGGGGCACCACCAGCATGATGGTTCCTGGGGGGGCACTTTCTGTGTGACACGGGGGTAGGCAGGCAGGCGGTTGGGGGCCGCACTTAAAAAAAAGCCAGAGGCCAATCGGGACACACAAAATTAGCCACAGAACCTCCTGGGCTGCAGCTTATGCCATGTTTGCCTTACCCAATCATTGTATCAGTACGTACATACCTTGCTATTATTCTGCTATTTGCAAAGCTGAAGCGTGGCGGCACCAAATCCTTCTGCCTTGGGGACAAAGTCTCACAAGTCAGGAGACACGTCCAAGGAAGAGCATTAAAGCCAAAGCTGGCCTAGGGTGGTTCTGGGATGCAGCTCCATCCACCACAGGAAGGCTTTTGCGACTGGGCTGCGTGCCCGAACAGGGGACTTTCCCAATGTGAGCAGCGCTCGCTTCCAGGGGCTTGCCAACTTCTGCCCCCCCCCATGTTTCTTGCACTTGCCCCTGGGAGCAACGCGAGGCCAAATCGGCAGCCTGGGCCAGGAAGCCCTGCCGGCAAGGGACCTGAGCCATGTGACTGCTGGCTTTACTGCACTAGAACGTATGGCGAGCCACCCTGGGAATTCCTGCCATGGGACACCCAAGGGTGCTGCAAGGCACTGGCAAAGCTTTGGCCGCCGTGGCAGAGTCTCATCTCCTACCCTGCCCACCGTTGGCAGTGCGGGTGGCTATGGACACCCCCCCCCCCGACCCATGAGAAAGCACTGCACAGTCATTCTGTCTTTTCCCCCCTTGAAAGATCCGCGCTGGTAGGAGAGAGACAGAGAGAAGCAGCGGTGGGAAAACGTGGGAGGGCTGCACATGGAAGATCATTCCTTCCCCAGTAAAATCCTGGGAAGGAGGCAGATAGATGATGCTATAAAGCCCATGCCTGGAAGCTCCACACCTGTGCTAGGGAATATATGGCGCCCGTGGTCCATGGGTTGCCACTGGGGGCACAAAGATTTGGTCCCTTCCAGAAACTTCTTCCTGAATCTTATTTCAATACCCAAAGCAAGTAAAGATTTTGTCTCCTTGTTTCATCTGCAACTTAAGTGTTGAAATAAGTAAGATTCAGAGAACACCGCTATTATTACTCCAACAGAAATGGCTTGGAATGGAGGCACCAGGCTGCTGCTTGGAAGATGCACTCGGATCTTTCCAGCCTCGCGGGGAAGTCTGGCCACTCGATAGGACAAACCGCTGCACAGCGCGAAGGAGCGTGGCCTCTTCCTGTTTATGCAGCAGCCGCATCCTCTGGGAAGCATGGAATGACGTGACGTGTGGTGGGGCCGGCCACGCAGAACGCACCGCTGGGGGCCAGGCTGCTGGGACCACCCAGGAGCTGCTGAACTTGGGATGCACAGGAGCGTTCAGCAGGCCTGCGCATGCTTTATAGGCCAAGTTAAGATGGCCAATCATTTGGGGACGGGGAATGAATCACACGAAAGGGAGTGCCAAGACACAGGACATGAGAGGGAATCACTTCGCCAGCCCGTCCCTCACAGTGCGCTTCTGGAAGGAGGGCTTCTAATGCGAAGATCAAAAGGCACTGTCTCCTTTTTCTAACTGACCTTTGAGGAAAGAAAAAAGAGAAAAGCAGAAGTGGGAAAATATGGGCAGGTAACAAGCGGAAGGCACTGTCTGGACTGCCCCCTGGGAAAAAAAGGAGTGAGGCGTGGCAGGAGCACAAAAAAGCCTCACCTGCAAGTGACGTATTTCGCTTCCCTACAACATTATCACAGGGGTCCCTGGTCCTTTGGCTCCATAGGCACGGCAGAGAAATTGCCCCGGGCACCATCACAAAATGGTGATCGTGAAGGATGCGGCTTATTGCATAATGGCTGCTGAGGGGGCCTGGAGCAGGGAGAGAAATAATGGGGCAGGGGCTGGCGGGGGGGCGGGGGTGATCAGAAGGGTATGTACGGCTGGGGACTGCCCGTGCTTGATTTCGTCTTCACATCTGCATAAGCCCAAAGAAAGCTTAGCATCTCATACAGGGGAGTGGGTGGAGAGCGGGCCTGATGTTTAGAGTGCACCGCAGCGGCAAAACCGCAACATGTGGTCTAGAGGAGAAATGCCTGAATGCAGACAAAGGAGCCCCCCGCACCAGGACACCCGCACAACCGTTCTGCCCAACTCTCTTGTCCAAAGAGGAACCGAATCAGAGCTGGAACCAATCAAAAGGAAGCAAACCGCAACTGGCACGTTTTGACTCGCACATGAATTATCTGGAGGAGACAGGGCAGCCCGGTTTGCGGATGACTCAAGTGATTTAAGAAGGCGAAAGCAGAAAGGGATTCTAACAGCTCCCACAGAACGGCCGATGTGGCCCAGCGTCAGGAAGTGCAAAACGACACGGACTGCGGCAGACAACCCTAACTTCATATCTATGTTGGGAACATGACGATCTGCTCCATGAACATGCCAACCAGGTGAGATGCAGCTGTGAAAAAGGCGAATCCCAAGTTTTAAATTGGTACCAAGGAGGCTGCCAATGCTGCGAAGGTTCTACAGAAATCCACGGTGGAAACACACTTGCAATTAATTCTGTGCGCGATTCTAGGTGCCAAATCTAGCAAAGGATGCTGCAGAGCTAAAAGAGGCAACCCAGTGATCGGTGGAACTGGAGCAACCGGGAGCTTTAAAACTGGTGAACAAGGACGGACCCAATCAAGGCTTCAATAAACGCTTGTGCCTGGAGAAGAAAGAAAGAATTTCTTCTCCCTCTTGCACAGTGCTAGAACCCAAGGGGGGTCGTCTCAGGTAGCAGGTGATTCAGGACCGCCAGAGAGAGATACTTCTTCGTATTGCACATAGTCACAGCATGGAAGTTACTGCCACTGCGTGTGGTGTTGGGCCACCAAGGGGGACTGCCTAAACCTATCAGCAGCTGGCAGATGGTCCAACACACAATAGCTATTATGGCATTAGGTTCCTCCAGTACAGGAAGCGGTGCATTTCAGCATACCAGGTACTAAGGAACACAAGCGAGAGGATGCTATTGCTTTCAAGTCCTCCTTGTGGGCTTGCCACGTGTTCCTGGGTGGCCGCTGTGGGTGGACGATGCTGGACTAAGCAAGCTTCATGTCTGACCCAGCGGGGCTGCTCCTATGTCCACCTATTCCAATATCTCCAGCAAGTGAGCCAAGCCATATGTAGACCAGTGGTGTGGAATCTTCGCGCAGCAATATTTCAGTACCTGCTCTTAGTTCTGTGGTTGTAGGTCTTTACAAAGCATTCCAGAGATGCTTGAACACACCCCAGATAAACCTGGCACGACTCACAGGTGCAGACGGATGCCTGACAAGCACATCTGCATAGCTGCATGTTTAAGGTCAAATCCCATCAGATTCTAACCTGTATTTCCAAAGAATCTTTGCCGCACAGGCTGGACAGATCCTCACAGCAGATGCACCTGGGGATATTCATGGAGCCAGCCTGAAAGGGCATCTGCGCACACACCTGTCTGAGTCATCATCCCAACCATGTCATTTCCCCATCCCTATCAAACAGAGCCCCACCCACCAATTAGCATTATCCCATGAAGACTTCCAATGGATATGGGAAAGGAGCAGTAGGAAAGCAGACCCGATCCAGCCTGACATCATGGGAATAAGCAGAACAGAGAAGGAAAGGGGCACTAGGAACTGATGGCAGAAATGGCTTAGGAAGGAGGCGGACCACTAACATTGTCTTTGGTACAGGGTGCCTTTGTTGTCCTGGAGAGCAATTGTTTTACCATCCTTCCGGCTCCAATGGTCACTGAAGAGGAAATACATAAATATAAGTGTGCATTTCATGGGAACTGCACATTTCAAGGGTTTGCTGCAGATTTTATTTAAGGAACATTGTTTTCTTTCCCTTTGACAGGTAGCCAAGGATTTAAGTAGCTTGCTTCCCAACTTCTGCACACCCTGAATCAGCCCATTAATTCTGACGAGCTTGCAAAAGACACACAAAACATGCTCTTGGGATGCTTTTTGCCTTGCAGCAGGGGGAGGTTTCCCCCTAACCCCACCTCCACACACACACTGTGCAAGCCTTGTGATTCTTAAAGAGCTTGCCATCGTCATTTGGGAAGGGCATTTTATGCCGCGGAACAACTGCTTCTCTTTCCCTTCTTGCTCAATTTGAACTGAAAAGGACCGTTAAGTCAAACAAGGAAGTGTGTGTGTGGTGGGGGGGGGAGCTGGAATAGAATGCCAAGCAGAGCTGGTAGGAGAAAGTGACGGGATGAAATTTTAAGGGGAGATGCTAGAGTCATAGGCAAATGCAGGACCGCTTCGCTCTGGCAGATGTTCCTCAAAAATGAACCTCCCAAGGCGGCTCTGAAGGAGCTGTGTGGTTGCCAAGGTCATCTGTGCCTGCAGGCTAACATTCTCCATTAGAAATGATGTGCTTTATTTTTAAAATCAAGACGCGCTTAAGCCACCAGAACGAATTCCAGGCCCCAAATCCTGCTATTTTTACAACTGCTACTTAGGGCTGTTTGAAAACTGCGTGTTTTCCAGACAAACAGTTGCAACACACCACCCTGCACCAAATTCCTCTTCCCAGTCACCTTTTCTCTCCACCCCCAGTTCAGTTGTGACTAATTTAATCTGCCACCGCACAAGGAAGAGGAATTTAACCTTCACACGGGCAGCCATGTAAATACATCGCAAACAGAAAGGCCGCTATTCTTTGTGCCTGCTGCCCAGGAGGCGTGCGCGCGAGTGTGCGTGAGTGCGTGCGCGCGCACACCCCACGGCCTGGAAGCATTAGCGTCGCCTTGCTGGCTGGCGAAGGGGAGCCAAGCACAATGCAACCCCAAGACGGAACCCGCTGATGAAACGTGCATGGAAAATATTTCCATCCAGGCTGCTTGACATGCACTGCTCCGGTTTATCCTCCTTAAATGGATTGAAGGCATCCTCTTAATCACTCAGGGCTTCAAACACCCCTCTGCCATGCCCCCGCTGTCTGATCTCCCTCGCATTATGAATAATGCTGTCCCCTGACCAACTACTCCTGGGCACCTCCTGACCAACAGCAAACCCCACGAAGGAGACAGACTTTACATCCAGCCCTGCTGCATCCTATTCCCAGCCATGATTCCTACCCCAAAGCCCTTCTTCTTTGAAGTCTTCCTCACCCAGCAAAGGCACCTGGTACCTCCTATGCTAAACTGGCCCACCCAACAAGCCAACGTTTTCTGCCTGTTATAAACCATCTCATTAAAGCCGAAGCACATGCTCCCCCGCCCACAAATTTCACCCACCCTTATGTGTCCCATCAGGAGGACAAGGAACAACTCCAGTATTGAAGCTCTAGGATTAAATTTCGAGGTATTCAGAGACCGCATGCTGTGCGTCAACATCTTGTCCTGCACCGAGCAGGGGGCTGACCCCGACGGCCCCTTCCAACTCTGCTCTGCTATGATTATATGGCCACCAGCCTGCACTCCTTCCTCTGAAGGAGTTGTCAGCCTTCAGTCCCACAATTCCTGGCTCCAGAACTATATTCCGTCTGCCCAGAGTTTGCTGGCTGGGGCATTCTGGGAAGTGCGGGCCGCTTTTTCTGCCTTAACATGCTGAGGATTGCACTTCAGGCTCTGTCCTCATCCTCTCCTCTGGCTTTGTCCTTACCTGTTTGGCTAATAAGCCACAAACAGGTAAAGGTATCACTGGAGTCCTAAAGCTTCTGCAGAGCAGCTGTACTTTGCTGTACCCACTGCCTTCAATCATTCCTGTAACTCAATGCATCCTCACACTCCGGCCGACTGCTCACCCTTTTCTCTCCGGCCTCTTTACAAGCCCAGCCATTCATGCCCACAAAAGATGGGCCCTAGGCGGACTTGGCCTTCCAAGCAAACTTAGTTCAGAGAGGGCACCGTGCAGGGAACCGAATCTACGACCCTAAACTACTTGCCTGGAGGAACTCAAACCGATCCATCTGTTTCCACAGAACGTGCTTAAGTGGGTTGTGTGATGGATTTTTCAGTCTAAGCCATCCTGGTTTGAAATGAGTAATGGGGACTAAGAAGGAGATGCCCGGAAGCCAGCTCAAAATCCACAGAGAAAGCAAAACACGCGTGAATAAAGCACACCTCCAGACTTGCCCCTGCACCTTTCCCACCCTCAGAAAGCCCCTGTACTCCCTGGTGCACATTTCCTAAGATTCTGCTTCAAATCCTTTGTGTGCTGACCGTCCAAACCCTGTGCAACCTCCGCCCAGCCAACCTTTCAGCAGCTGTTTGAAAGACGATGGCGAAGGAGGGCTTTGTGAAGACCCTGGGCCCACGGAAAGACAAACAGGTAGGTCTGGCTCAAACCACGCCAGAGCTTGCCCTGGAAGCAAAACTGATGGAATGGAGGCTGCTACACTTTGGGCACATGCTGGGAAGGGAAGTCTCCCTGGAGAAGACCGTCAGGCTGGGCAAAGTCGCTTTCACGGACAGGGTCGTCCTAAGTTGAGGATGACTTGACAGCACGTAACAACCATGTTCGACGTGGAGGCACCCCCACATTCTCCTCTGCCCAGCACCCACAACCCCTTCAGGATCAGTGCACTTGAGTACCCCTGTTCCTACCTACTAGGCACTACTCCCCTCCACCCCCACCCACCGCTCCTGTCCAAGGCCCCCACACAACCACACCTCCACTGCCCTCTGAAGTCCCCCCCGTCAGACCCCCGTAACCCTCCTTGTGCCTCTGCACCCGTCTCCCATCTGCCTCTCCCTCCTTCCACACCTGCCACTATTCTGCTCCCCCACCTCTCTTTGCCCCCCCAACACACACACGTTGCACATCAGGGCAGCCCGTCGTCCCCTGCTGCCTTCCCCCAAGCCCCCCATCCTCAGCCCCTCCATACATTTCCTACAGGGGATGACCTCCCTCAGTGTCCCCGTTTGGACACAGGGCTCCTCTCTTTGCACAGGGTCCCCTCCTCAATCGCCCCCCCCATGCAAGCGACGCCCCCAGCTTCCTCTTCTGCACATAAAGGTCCCCCTCCCTCAACGCCCCGTTTGGGCATGGGGCCGCCCTCCTCAACCGCCCCTCCCGCAAATGGGCCCCTCCCTCCCTCCCTCCCTCTGCCCCTTCTGCCCCAGCGCACATGGCCCCCCGGGACCCCTGCCTCCCCACCCTCGCGCCCCAGGCCCTCGGGCGCTCACCTGACGCTGGGCTGGGCCCCGCCGCGGGCCTTAGCGCGCCCCCTCCGGGCCGGGGGCAGCAGCAGCGGCGAGCGAGGGGGCAGCAGCGCCATTGTCTGACAGCCCCACGCCGGGCGGACCGAGCGGCGGGAGGGGGGCGCGGCGGGAGCGGCGGGCCGTACCAACCGCCCGGCCGCGGGAAAGTGGCCGCAGGCCGCCTCGCTCCGCCTCGCCTGCGCCGCCGCCGCCGCCCACAGGCCCTCCCGGCCCTCCGCCAAGCCGCGGCTCCGCCTCCGCAAGGCGCCGGCGCCGCCCGCCTGCTCGCTCGCTCGCTCGCTCCGCGCTCCCTGCCCACCCCGCGATGGTACGGCCCAACGGGACCAGCTGTTCCCGCAGAGGGGCGGGGGCGGGGGCGGAGAGAGCCGGCCCCGCCCCGTGGCAACCGATGCTTAGCAACGCGCGCCCCGCCCTTAGCGACTCCCCCTTCCTTAGGGATTCCGGGTGGACGCGGAAGGAGGTCTCCCGTAGCAACGCCTGGAGAGGAAGGGGAGCCCCGCCCTTGGCCACGCCTCTTCTTTCCACTGCCTAGAGCAGCCTTTGCAACCTGGCGCCCTCTGGATGTATTGGATTGGCCTGGGATGGTGGGAATTGCAGTCCCAACACATCTGGCGGGGGTGCAGCTCTCCTTTTCTTCAAACTAAATGTGGTCTTTCTGCCTGAGTTTTTTTGCCTGACATCAGTGCCTTCCCCTCACCTCGCAGTTCACCCCTTTTTACAAGGTGGGGCGTCCTTCGGTAACTGTCCTTTGAAGACTTTGGAGCATATGCAATTTAGCACGTGCAAATCCGTGCATTTATTTTTGTCCGGGGGGGGGTTATTTTTGTCCTGGGGGGCCTAGCACGGCCCCTCCATGCAAATCCCAGAAAGATTTAGGCAGGAGGAGTGTGCATACACATTGAGAGCCAGTGTGGTGTCCTCGTTAAGACTGCAGGACTGGGAAATCTGAGTGCTTGTCCTCCCACGGAGCATCCTGGGGGAATGTGGGCCCATCACAGACTTGCAACCCAGCCTACCTCACAGGGTTGTTGTGAGGTAAGGCTGACTGGGGGAGGAGGAGCGGTACGTGAGCCACCATGAGTTCCTTGAAAGGAAAAAGGTGGAATATAAATACATGTAATGGTTGCAACAGAAAAGATGTGGGCCCAAATACAAAGCCAGGAAACATAAGATGAGCTCTCCTTCCTAATCCAACCAAGAGCAAAGGATGGTTTTGTGAGACCTCCCTGAGTGAGGCATGCGTGCTGAAGTGTTCAAAACCGTTGGGAGAGCTTCCATGGACCAAGGCAGCGCTCTCCCGAAAGCTTCCTGCCAGTGCAAATGGTGAGAGAAATTGCGGTGGGACAGAACTGGACGGCACTTACACATCACAACAAGCAACCTGCCTGGCTGCCTGTTTCTCTCTTTTTTTACCATGCCCTGTCCAAGAAATTAAAAGAGGCCTGCTCCTGGGGAGGAAAGTGATGGCAAATCTAGACAGCATGCTGAAAAGCAGAGACATCACCCTGCCAACAAAAGTGCGTATAATCAAGGCGATGGTTTTCCCACTTGCAATGTATGGCTGTGAAAGCTGGACCGTAAGGAAGGCTGAGCGCCGAAGGATTGAGGCCTTTGAATTGTGGTGCTGGAGGAGACTCCAGCTGAAGGCGATCAAACCGGTCAGTCCTGGAGGAGATCAACCCTGACTGCTCTTTGGAAGGCCAGATCCTGAAGATGAAACTCAAGTACTTTGGGCTCCTAATGAGAAGGAAAGACTCCCTGGAGAAGACCCTGATGCTGGGAACAATAGAGGGCAAAAGAAGGAGGGGGCGGCAGAGGATGAGGTGGCTGGATGGGGTCACTGGGGTGGTGGGTGTGGGCTTGGGGGGACTCCGGGGGACGGTGGAGGACAGGAAGGCCTGGAGGAATGCTGTCCATGGGGTCGCGATGGGTCGGGCACAACTTCACGACTAACAACAACAAATCAGACAGACAATCAAGTGGCTTCTATGTTACCATGGTCTCCATCCTCCAGCCATTTTTTGTAATCGGCCGCTGCGCTTGAGATTCAATCCTAAGGTGAATTGCTCCCTGCCTATGTCACTGGACCCTTGCTGGTCCACACATAGAGGCTGGATGGCTGGAGTGGCTCCTTCGGTTCCCACTCTGTCAAGGGGACTCTATGGTCATTGCATACCAGGACTATGGCAGCCACGATCCTGGGTCCTGCCTGGGGATGTGTGGGGAATCTGTTTGGCAGGATGGGGTCCTGGTGAGCGCACTCACTAGGAATGGGGTCCTGAGGGAGAACCGCACAAGCCTCTCCTATGCTAAATATTGGGCACTAATTGGATTTTAATTGCCCAGCCAAGTCCAAGCCGGTCCAGAGTGGTTTCCGTTGCAAGAAGGAGAATTTGTTTCCAGGAGAATTCATGCCCGGCAGCTTTTGTGGGAAGCTCAGCTCAGCTCAGCTCAGTAGAGCTAGGACAGGGAATCTGGAGGATGGAGGTGGGTGCCATCACCCCCCCCCCACTAATAGAAAAGGGTGTTGGTGTGTTTGAAGGGTGTGCAAAACGGGTCGGCCTTTCGTCTTGGCATGGCCCGGTCATTGATGCCAGCCGCAATAACGAAGTGTTCGTCGTTCAAGTTCTGCCTGGCTGCTTGTGGTTTCTTGCCCCGGGATGTCTGGCCTTACCGTCCAGGACGGCCTTCTCCAGATGCTTTGGACTACAGTCCCCAGCATTCCTGCCCACTGGCCAAGCCATTTGTCAAAGCCCAGAGCATCAGGAGTGCACCTGGCTGGGAAAGGCTGCTGCGGGACGTGCCCAGGTGGAAGACTGTTGGAGAGACACTGCCTGGAATTCAGCGGACTGGGGCCAAGGGCCATATAGCCTGCCCAAGTGGTCCTTCTGTACCCAAAACACTTGTGCAAACAAGCACCATCAGGGTAGTAAAGGCTAGATTGCAGGGCTACATTTAGAGCGCCTGATTATCATCGACCGGAGCAGAACTTCATCCCATTCACATATAACGCCGGCTCTCTGTCACTTGCACTGGCTACCAACTGAAGTCTGGGCCCAATTTAAGGTGCTGGGGATGACCTACAAAGCCCGATACGGCTTGGGTCACGGATACCTGAAGGAGCACTTCCTCTCCCATGTGCCCCCCGCACCTTGAGAGTTGAGTCAGAGACCCTCCTCTGGGAGCCCTCCTTGAAAGAGATCAGGAGGGTGACTACCTGGAGGAGGGCCTTCTCTGTGGTGGCACCTTGACTATGGAATATGCTCTCCAGAGAGGTTTGCCTGGTGCCAACACTTCTTTCCTTTCAGTGTCAGGTAAAACCCTTTTTATTCTCCCAATATTTTAATTGTTAATTTGTTTTAATTGCTGGTTTTATACTTAATATTAGATGCTGTGCCACTCCTTTTCTTATTTCTATTTTATTTTATTCATGGAGTTGTAAACCACCCTGAGACATCTGTAATGGGACGGTATAGAAAAGTTTTAAACAAACGAAGAAATATTCCGCAACCCATTCCCAAACCAGATGCCCTCTACCCACGCCCAAGGACGGAGAAGCGCACAATTGGCAGCAGCCGCACAACGACACAGCGGCTGGCTGCCATGGTGAAACATCTGCCAGGCCGGGTGCTGACCCAGCCGCTGGGGATGCTGTGCCATCGGCCTTATGGGAAACCCTAGTTTTCGACCTCAGGGCCATCGCCTGACCTACTAACCGCCGAGAGACCCGAGCCACCCGTCTGCCCAGCGATTCGCAGGGTTGGCCCAGTGAGCTTGCAAATCTCCCCAGCCGACTCACCCAGCGGCCGCTGCCCTGGCATCACCCCGCAAGCGTTCGGTCACACAAAGACCTCCATTGGGTCCAGCAAATCCTTCGGCTTGCCCTCGGCTTATGTCTGAATAGCCATCGCAGCGGCATCCGAGCCAGCCGGGGGACTCGCGCACAAAGCCGAGGAAGAAAATCCTGCCATTTGAAATGTGCCATTCAACAGAGCCTTGTGCTGAGAGCTGGCAGTGATAACATGGTAGATACCGAGGGAGAAGCCAATTGCCCTACTTAAATAGTGCTGTCGTGCCGTTGCTTCTAGGAGATGGAATCCACCTCCGTGCAAGCCAACGGGGGAGAAGTTGGCCTACGGGGGCAAGTGGCTTTTGGTGGGACTCACGGCATCTGGGAGCGTTTTTTCAAGCCTGCGTTATTTCTTGTAATGGTGCAGTTGTGTGTTTTTAATTAGACTTTAGCTGTTCCAAGAAAGGCTTTTTGTTCTAGTTATTCCTTCATGCTGAGCTGCAAGTTCATGCTGTGTCGTGTGAGGGAGACAAAGGCAGGAAAAAGAATCTTGCCTCCCGGGGGAGAGCAGTGGCAAGGAGCCAGCAACTAGACTGGCTGGGAATGATGGGAGTTGCATTCCCAGGCAGCTGGAGGGCAGCAGGTGGGGTAAGACTGTGGTCATCTAAGCTGCCTCTGAAATCCCCATTACAGCTGCCTCCCCAAGTCCCTTTCAAAGGGACAAGGTCCCAGAGTTTCCCATGTGTGCAGCTTTCAGGCTCGGCAAGATGTCTGCCTATCCAGTTACCTGAAGGCAAACACAAATTGTACGGTGTTATCGGCTTCATCTGGGATCAGGCCGTAGAGTTTCTAGGCAGGACATATGTCACTTCTGGAGAAACTTGAACGGTGCTCAAACTCTTTTCGGAAAGGTCCCAATAACCATTAGGTTTCACTTTGGTTATCACATTTCTTAACAGCCAAAAGCTGAAGCTCCCTGGGTAGTTTACAAAGAACAAAGCCTTAAAAATAAATTACGAAAAACCATAAAGATGCAAACATGTACACAAATAATCCAGGGAGAAAGAGAAATGCATCGATCGCCAACCATTTTAGACAATCTGCAAGAAAAGAAGTCCAGAACTGGATCAACACTTCATCGAATGCTGCCAAGTGCCTGAGGGAAGCTGAAGGCCTGAACCAGGTGTAGAAAAGAGACCACCACCAGGCAGGCCCTGTTGGGGCGATCAAGGGGCAGGGGCAGCACCAATTCCACCTTTGCCCCTTGTTGCTGCCTTCTCAGCCTCCCTT